GCTGTGGCTAGATCCTAGAGTAAGATTTTCAGGTTTGGACTGTGCTTTTTCCTGTAAATCTAAGATAATTTGAATACAAGGCCTTTAGGGGCCAAAAGCAGGATTGACTCTGCCAGCAAACAGGAGAAATGTCTTTTACCAGCAGGATAAACTAAATGCACTACGATTTATTTTGCTTTCTTATGTTTGTCATAGCTCTTCTTGCAAGCTGTTTTTTTCTAATGATCCACTGAAGATTGTGAAGGCGAAAGGCCAGTATATGTATGATGAGAATGGGAGACAATACCTTGACTGCATAAACAATGTTGCTCACGGTAAGTTAAAGTCATGGTATTGGATGTTATTTGATGCTGTGGTTTTTTAAGCAGAACAAAGAACAATCAGTACTTTTACTACAGTTTCACTATGCTGGGGGAAAGGGTGTTTACTTGGAAAAGTGGAAGGAAACTTTCTTGAGTGTGTAGTTTGGGAAATTACAGGTTTTTTGAACCTGTCCTTTCCAGACCTCCTTCCTGTCCTGTCTTCCTAGAAATGTGTCTAAAACATAGGGGTTTTTTTTCCATGGAAACTCAAGCACCTCAGTGTAAAACTAAAAAATGACATTTTTAAGCCACTGCTCAGCACAGTGCCTTAATTGTTTATAATTGACTGCTGCTTTCTTACAGGATCTGAAATCTCTCTAACCTAATCCCTACTAGAGCTAGTGATTCTTTGATACTAAAGCTTACCTGCACCTTCCCAAATTCCTGAACTATATAAATGCCTAAATCCAAGCATCAAATCAGACACTTACTTGCTTTAGCATATAAATTTCCAGTACTACAAACCTTAAATACAGCAGAAGGCAACTTAAAACTTTCTGAGGAGCATAAAAATGTTTTTACAAGATGTACCATTATTAAGGCCCTACTGATAATTATCTGTGTACTACTAGAGAAACAGAAGTGTTAAGCTGTTTTGTGAATGAATAATATGAAGTAATATGAAGAACTCTCAAACCACTCTCCACATTCTCTTGCAGTTGGGCACTGTCACCCTGATGTAGTAAAGGCAGCCTATGAACAGAATCAGTTGTTAAATACAAATTCTCGTTACCTTCATGACAACTTGGTTGATTATGCAGACAGACTTTCAAAAACCCTGCCTGAGAAATTATGCATCTTCTATTTTTTGAATTCTGGGTAAGTTGTGTATGTTAGAATTGATACTGGGGCTTTACTAGGTATATGCAGACAAGTACACGCTTTCTATCAACAGACCAATTTCTGTCTGGTGTGGATGACTAGATACTGACAAAAACATGAGTTTGGTTCTGCAAGCTCCCTACCTGGGAACTAAACTTGTGCTTTAAGAATGGTTTTACTCTATTTTTAAGACCTTGGACCACAAAATATTAATGTAAATATCTGCTGTATTAGTTTCCTGTCTGATTTGTCTTCTGACAGTTATTCACAAAATTAAATATACCAGTGCATTACTTCTGCTGGGTGTGTGTGTGTATGTGTATACTCCTAAGCTTCATCTGGAAAAAAAAAAAAAAGCCAAACTGTTCCTGAAGTAGTCCCTGTACTCTATATATTTTTTAGAAAGATTCTGTTCTGGCGAACATTCCTACCGAGCGAGTGCCGATTATTAAGGAATTTGTGCCTAATATGCATCAAGTTCTGTCTGTTCTCTGCAGACACAAGGAGCAGTGCAAGGGAGGTTAGATTTCAAAACTCAAGATATCCACAATGAAACAATTATTGAATTTTTCCATTGTAGATCTGAAGCCAACGACCTTGCCCTGAGATTGGCACGGCAGTACACAAAACATGAGGATGTTATTGTTTTGGACCAGTGAGTATATTGGCAATTTGGGGGTACAAGGCTCAGTTTTGGTCAGAGCATTTTTGAAATCCTCCTGCAGTAGCAAGACTGTAACCAGGAAGCTGAGGGAAGTAATTTTTCCCTTGGTTCAATATTTGCCAGCCCAACCCTGAGAGCTGTGGTTGGGTTCTCCAGTACTTGACAGCTGTTGGAAGGAGGCCAGCAGTGGCCTGCCACAATGGGAAGGGAGCCACAGTAGTGAGGTACTGGATTTGTTCAGTTGCAAGAGACAGATCTCACTGCAACTACAGCTGTCTCATGGGAAGGAGCAAAAAAGATGGGAGCCAGGTGTGAAGATGTATGGTGACAGGAAAAAAAGACCTCAGTTTGAACTTGAGGAATTTTGATGAGACATAGAAAAAGTCTTTTGCCATGAAGGGAGTCAGATATTAGAACAGTATGCCTACAGTCAC